CCTGGTTACATGTTACACAGCCAGCAAACAGTTTACATGTACACACAAACATCGTGTTACACAGCCAGCAAACAGTTTACATGTACACACAAACATCGTGTTACACAGCCAGCAAACAGTTTACATGTACACACAAACATCGTGTTACACAGCCAGCAAACAGTTTACATGTACACACAAACATCGTGTTACACAGCCAGCAAACAGTTTACATGTTCACACAAACATCGTGTTACACAGCCAGCAAACAGTTTACATGTACACACAAACATCGTGTTACACAGCCAGCAAACAGTTTACATGTACACTTCCACACTTTTTCACAGCATCTGTAAACATCCTAGACTGTATGTAAATTTAAAGACCTAACATTCTTTGATGCAGTGCATATCACTCGCCACCTTTTCGTCTAAGTTTTAAACTAAACGACCTGTCACACTCAAATATTTTAGACAACTTATGAAATGATTTTTAGTCTAAATTACTAATAAGTTATATATTTAATCAATTTAACCTTACAGTATGTACACATCTAAGAGACTCAGTTGATTTTTTTTAAATTCCATCAATGTAGATGTCTTTAAAATTTTCATAAGTTGTCTAAAACGTGTGACAGAACCTTTAGATCACCTTAAGTTTAGTTGTTAGATAAAGTTGCAGCTGTTTTGGTTCAACCTTGAAAATAATGTCTACGATCCATTTGTCAGTTTTCTTCCTCTTATCCAGGGTCAGGTCTCAGGGGCAGCAGCCTAAGCAGAGACCCAGACCTGCCTCTCTCCAGACACTTGGACCAGCTCCTCTGGGGGAATCCCAAGGTGTTCCCAGACCAGCTGAGAAACATAGTCCCTCCAGCGTGTCCTGGGTCTTCCTCTGGGTCTCCTCCCAGTGGGACGTGTCCAGAACACCTCACCAGGGAGGAGTCCAGGAGGCATCCTAACCAGATGAACCACCTCAACTGGGTCCTCTGGACGTGGAGGAGCAGCGGCTCTACTCTGAATGTCTATGATCTGTTAACTCAGTGTGTGTAGGGCATGCCTCTCAGTGACTACCACACTAAATTTTAGCTGCATTTCTCTAACTGAGATCTATCCAGATGCTGGCAACAATTTATTAGCTGTGGCAGTTGTCTTGGTTCTTGGGTTGACTGAAAAAATACTTGGGCAAAAAAAAAAAACTTATTAAAGCTCATCTTTCAACACAATGATAAATTTAGTATATATTGTAAATGGAAAAGTCTCTGTATGGTTTATGGCCTTGCTAGTTTGTGACAGATTAACTGAATTCTGTATGTGTGACAGAAACCAGTGCTTAAAACCAAGGTGCTGAAGTGGAAAACATATTTTCAGATAGATTGGAGATATTTTGATAACTGGAGATATTTTGATTTCCTATTTAGACAGGTTGCAGCATTATTACTACGCTCTGTTAAAGTGTCCCTAATGTTATCCAACAGTAATATAATAGTAAAGACACTTGTGTTGGCCAAAAATAAGCTAATTTAGATGTACTTTTTATTTTTAACACTATTATGTTCAGCGTGGTTGTGGAACCACAAACAACCAGGCAAAGAAAAGGTTTCTGTCCTTTAGTCCAAAGTTATACAGGGTTAGATTCAACAGCACCAGGGAGGACGGAGAGCCAGCCCCGCCCCCGGCAATCGTCCAAGCCCCGAGCCCACCCACAGCCCAGGACCGCACCCGGCGGTCCGCCCTTCTTCAGGACCCCCTCCCCAAATGGCAGTCGGGGAACGGGATGGGAATAAAGACCCTGACACCCACACCCCCACCCCCAGATGTACTGTTGGTGCGTGTTGTTCTATAGAGCAATTAAAAAAGGGAAAGAAGAAGAGGCAGAGGCCGGCGTGGTGCCAGTTTCCCCTCCACCACTACTCTAACCCAAAACCAGTTTATTTATTTTCTGACAGTATTAACATTTTCTCTGCTCAGACACTGAGTCGTCCCTGGCTAAAAAAGTTCAGTTTCTGTCTCATCTGACCCACAGCACTGTTTCATGTCTGATCACACAATTCTCAACAGTTTGTCTTTTTCTTTATTCATTTTTGATTTGTGTGTGTGTGTGTGTGTGTGTGTGTGTGTGTGTGTGTGTGTGTGT